AGCCCAGCCACGAGGAGGACAAGAGGAGGAAGAGTTCAGGGCGCGGCCAAGTGAGGAGGACAAGAGGAGGACAAGGCCCAGCCACAGAGCCACAGAGTTGACACAAGGCCCAGCCACAGAGCCCAACCACAGAGTTGACAGAGTTCAGGGGCGCGGCCCAGCCACAGAGTTGACAGAGCTCAGGGGCGCGGCCAAAAGGAGGACAAGAGGAGGACAAGGCCCAGCCACAGAGCCTAGCCACAGAGCCCAGCCACGGAGCCCAGCCACAGAGTTCAGGGGCGCGGCCAGTGAGTGTGGCCAGCCCTTTTCTTTCTAAGATAGAACCCCAACAGTAAACTGTTTGGGGAATTGTGGTATTGGACCTTTTCGGAATGAAAGCAGAAGAGTGGGGAGCACGGGGAGAAACCCACCAGAGGACAATTTCCACTAAAGACGCAGCCCACAAGAGAAGCAAACTGCCAACCCGATGAGTGAACCGAAATGTGCAGTTCATTTCAGTAGCAGGTGAGTCAAAGTCGGCCAAGCGCTCTCCACTGGTTTGATAGTTTTCGACAACATGGCGCTAAACGCAAACCTGTTGGCAGCGCATCTCCGACAAGGTTTACGCCCCGAGAAATTCTCAAGCCTCTCAAATCACGCATTTCTGGCCACCAGGTTTTGTGAAAACACACAAACGGCGCAGCAAACCTTTTCGCTGTCCCACTCCTGAGCCGAAAGCCCTGTATTCAGTTTTGTGTCAAAAGTGTCTAAACTTAGCCAAAAGTCAACAAGCGTCCCTGATGGTTGATCCAAACATTCCAAAGACCAAGAAAGCATCTCAAAGCATCTCCAAGAAGTCTTCCAAGACCACTTGCAACAATCAAGATGCCATACACAGCATTCACAAACATTCTCGTAAGAAATTTGTTGAAGCTGTAACCGTAACCCTTCCAAAAAAACACCAAGAAAGGACTCCAGAACACAAAGAGGCACCACAAACAAATTATCACTATACAAAAGGTGCACGTGAGCCATACTACTCACCCCTGAACTTTCACACCCCTTCTTGGGTCACTACGTGCCTAGCTCTCTGAACTACTCTCTGTCTTCTTCTTTCTTTTCTCTCACTCGTGTTCAACTAAGCTCATCAACTCAGGTTTCAACCTTGGCATTTACAGTAACTGTCGACAACAACGACAACAACAACAACAACAACTCAACAAGCTTCAAGCCAAATCCAATCAACATCCCAACTCAGCCGCGCAAACACGCAATAAGACTTGGTTAGGATCCCTTTGCCTGAACTCTCGCAGCCAACTTTGCAGACAACCAACTCCTCTTTCATAAGAGTTTGGACAGTCTTCTGGAACCTGAACTTGCCTGCGGCCAGGATGTTCAGGTAGAAGAACACAGTTTGTGACCAAAAAACTTTTGAGAATGCCTGAATAGACGGAGAGTGCCGCATACACTGCCTCAATGCATCCACTGAAGTGTATGCTGAACACCTTTGTGTCAATAACGGCGCTCTTGAGCTGCACCCTGCCCCGTCGTCTATGTATACTGCCCAGCGGGTAACATCTCCGGCCTCTGTCGAAACATGCCGATCCGTTCTAAGACCTCGACATGCGCGGGCCACGCGTGCCCACGGCCGAGTTGGAACCCCGGAGGGTCCATTCCGATGTCGTCGCCGACGTTTCGCAGCCCTTTTTTCATGGTCCCAAAAACACCACCGTTTTGGGGATCGCAGTCCATGTATGACGTGGTTGAACAAGTCAGCTGTCAGGCATCTCTTCCACAAATTGCAGAGAGTCGGACTGGCTCCCAACTCCGCAACCCGGACCGCCCCGGCGACCCGGCGTCACACCGCGGCGGTCCCGGCCTCTTCGATTTGGGTCAAGCCTTCGCTTTTGGCTTCGAAGGACGCCGCATGGCGCACGCCTGGCAGCGCCATGCGAGCGCGGGCAGTTCGATCGTTTTTCTTCGCACCCCGCGCCCAAGTGACGAAGCGGCCGAAGTGAACGTTTGGAAGGAGATGATGTTTTGATGAAACTAAGGACTTTCATGTAAAACATGTGACAAAACCCATGAGCTGACCCCTCTGAGCAAGATGTGCAAGTGTCTGGCAAAGTATCTGGGAGTTGGGCACCTGAACATTCCTTTGATCAGATCCTACTAACCCCAAGATGTCCGATTCTTAGTGAAAAAGCTTGGTGGACCAATGGAAGGGCTGACATTCATTCTCACATTCATCCTGGCACCAATGGCGCGCGCCCCACGTGTGGCGCTCACCTCGAACGGTTGGTCCCACCCTCCCAGAGTCCATCAACTCATTTTACCAGAAAGGTGACGGAGCATGACTACCAGGTGGAACCTTCAGGTGATTTCAACTTCCGATGGGAAGCACGACACCAAGAATAAAGCATGCTTTTGAACCTGCGTCCGTCACTGCAGGTCGCAGTGGAACTGTGTCCGGCGTGGACCGGCGTGGACCGGCCAGCCGGCTGGACCGGTCCCAAGCGTGTGGCGGTGTGGAGGATCTCCGGTGGAACGGTGGGGATCAAGCAGATCCTGGAAAGCCTCGGGTCAGAAGCAGAAAGAACCGGTTCCGTTGTAAAAACCATGAGATCCTTGAGATCCTTTCAACCGTGCTTGGAACTGTGGACCAAATTTTTCTTTGTTTCTGGTTGGGACTGGGTTTCCAGAGAATTCCCTGGTGATCCAGCCTATGAACAGGATCCATCTCGTATGCATTCCGAAAGACTTCTTAATTGCTTTCGACTTCAAGAAGTCCAGAATCAATCTTAGACTTCTTGAACTTCTTCTTGGATCACTCTACAGGAATTCCGAATCCCCGACTTCCAAACAAAGAACAGTACCTGTTTTTTCATGAGTCCCACCGATCGAGCCTGCGAGGTTCGCGAGTCCTTGTCCAGACACCATGGCCACGGCGGTGGGCGTTGGAGGCGGATGGTCTGTGCACGAGTCGAGAGGTGGGTTGTGTGAGGTGGCGAGTTCAGCCAAACAATCAGTTGGGCATCGAAGAACAGATCAATATGGCACAACAGAACATGATCACATTCGGAGTCCGCGATTGGTCCGTGATCGGTTTTCCAGCAGGTTTCTACACATACAACGAAAGCTGACGCAGAAGTTCAACATCGAGACCTCTGGGGGCATCACTGTAAGGTGTGGGACAAGGAAGCTACGTCTGCCATTTTCTGCCATGTTTGTTGGTCGCACGGAGCCAAATCGCTTTGCACTGAAGAATACATTGAAGCGGAACCAAGATAAAGGGATATCTCATCTGCCTCCAGATCTCTACAAATATCTCAGCGTGTGGTCCATCCCCCAGAGCTTGCCAGATCACCAGCTGCCTGCTGGTTTGAGATATCTTTATCTTCAACCGATGCTTGAGAGGGATTGATTCTACAGTCCAATCCCGCTGAATCCTATATAGACTATCATAGACTCATACTTTGAACCAGTGGCTTGAGTACACACCGCCGTTTCTTGGCTGCGAATCACCCAACTGCTTTCTCTGGAACCGACGCTGACCGCGGCATCCAATTGCTGGTCCGCAGACCATGGCACGGTGGCCGACCTTTCTGAACACCATGTGAGTCCGGATCAAAGACCTCTTTTTTGCAGGAGGTGTTCATGCCAAACCTCGACTTGAAGGTGTTCATGCCCCTTCAGTAGAAGTGTTTGTGGGCACACCAGTGTCTATAGAACCAACATTGTCAAGTCGTGAGTAGGACTGATATGTTTTGGGGTCTTCGTCCTGTTTTGGCGTGAACCCTCACCAGTAGCAGTGAGTCCACATCCCAAACCGGTGACGTCTCAAGTCGTGAGACTGGGCGTGAAACCACGGACGACCAGAGCGTCAAACGAACGAAGGTGTCTCCATAGATTGCTCCTCCGAACCTATGCAATCTAATTATATAAGTACCTGGTAAACCTTAAACCCATAAAAACAAGTACCAGGTAAAACCATTTGGGTATTTGGATTTGTCCTCAATTTTTCTTGGTTTTTAGTTTAGCAAGTATACTAAGTATATAATATGTCACGCATGGATCGTCTGGGATGCATCAATGGCATCAAAGGATCTTTTCTTTCTTTCAACAATGGATCAATGTCGGAAACTCTTCCAGTCCCACGGATGGTCCGTGGGTTCCGTCCAAATACCAACTCAGAAGGTCAGTGGGGATGTTCACGGTAAAGGAACCATTGATATTTCCTTCAGACACCATGGAAACCTGTTTCCCCCAAAAACTGATTGCAGGTTTCAACTCACTTAATTCGTCAGCGGAATCAATTCTCTCAAGTAAAGGTCGAAGATACCATATCTGACACCATCGCCCAAAAAAGGATTCACCGGGAGTTCATCCAACACCGGGAAACCTCGGTTGTTCGAAACGAAATGAAGCAAACTAACGAAGGATGGGTTCGGACCCATGTCAACATTGCTTGGGAAATTGGGTAGCAGTTCCTTGTGAATCTTTGTGACTCAATTTGTTCCGTGCAGAAATTGCCTAGAACTGCTCTCACACAGGCAGCAAGCCACCAAAACTCCCAGCGAACCAGCTGGGGGCGAGGGCGGAGCCACAAGAACCCCAGTTTTCACGTCAATGCTTAAAAATCTCTTTGCCACCCAGGTCTGATTCATCATCGGCCCTTTTTCGCTCCTGCGCCTTCACACCACCAAAACCCTTCTGTCTTTGGCGCACGAAGCAGGAGTTTGGAACGTTGGAACGAATTACAAATCTGTCCGCAAGACCATGGAATCGCAAACTTCCCATCGTAAGTTGCACTTGCGGGTCCAGGGCTCGTTCGCAGTCTCTGAGCATGCCCCCCAACATACTTGGGAGAAATGGATGTGATGGCTCCACAAAAAACATCTGGATGGTACTGTTTGTTTCACTTGGATTTGCTGGTTTCGGAACCTGACAAATAGAAACATCTTCGCCAAACAGAAGGGGATTTAACCAGTTCCGGGAAAACAGAACTATTACCTTCTGGCTCCTTGCGTTTCCAGCTAAGAAACAGTTAACACATTTTTCTGTTTTTTGAGGGTTCTCCTTCCCTCAACCTCCTCCCCCACAGCGCACGTGAGCGAGCGTGCTAGTGTGTAGGTGAATGAGAGAGGAAGTGGAGTGGTGAACGGTCCGAACGGTGGAGGGTGGAAAGTGAATGGAGTGAGTGAGTGAGTGAGTGAGAGAGTGAGTGAGTCTAAGAGTGAGTGAATGTTTGAGAGGAAGGAATGAGTGAGCGAATGAACGATTGAAGGAAGGAAGGAAGGCCGGCAGGCAGGCAGGGAGGGAGGGAGGAAGGAAGGCAGGGAGGAAGGAAGGCAGGGAGGAAGGAAGGGAGGAAGGAAGAAAGGAACGAGTGAATGAATGAACGAACGAATGAATGAACGAATGAGTGATTGATTAAATGAATGAAGGTGAAAGAATGGTTGAATGAAAACAGTGGGTAGGTGAGGGAGTGAGAGTGAGAAAGGATGCGAGTGACAGTGAAGAGAAAGTGGAAGCGTGGGCAAGTGGGTGAGTGAATGAGTGAGTGGTTGAATGAGTGAATGAGTTGGGAAGTGAGTGTGAGTGTGGGTGGGTGAGTGAACGGAATGATTGAGGGAAGGACTTCAGCAAGAAGGCAGGAAGGAAGGAAAGGAAAAGAAAGGAAAGGAACGGAAGGGAAGGGAAGGGAAAGGAACGGAAAAGAAAAGAAAAGAAAAAGAAACAGAAACAGAAAAAAGAAAAGAAAAGGAAAGGACAGAAGGAAGGAGAGGGAGGGAGAGAAGGAAGGAAGGAAGGAAGGAAGGAAGAAAGGAAGGAAGGAAGGAAGGACGGAAGGATCGATGGTACGAGGCGCGCTGATCCTCCAAACTGGTGTGGAGTCTTTGGTCTACCTTACCCTCCTTCTCATTGCCCGCAACCGCTTGCAGAAGGGTTGAGAAGTTCTTGGTCACGAAGTCAACGCAGCCCGCTCCCTTTGTCTTCTTCCAGTCTTCTTCCAGCGCCTCCGCTGGGGATCTAAACTGACAAAGACTGAAAGACTCAGGGGAACATGTTTGCAACACGTATCAACACATGATTCGTTGAGCAGTCTCATGTCCAGACTGAGACAGCACTATACGCGGTTTTGTCTTTGATGCTCCTTGTCATGAGCTGCAGCTTGCGGCTTCAATCACACCCGGTAAACCCCTTGGGAAAGGTCCAGGCCCAGACTTCACACGCAATCTTCCTTCGCTACAAAAATGCTTGCCTCCCCCAATGATCGATACATAAACTAGTATCTCGAGCACTATTCATGTTTTGTACAGGGACCTTCTCCTTCCACCGCCACAACCAGGTTGTCCCTAGCAGCTAGTGGCAACACTTGAAGATCCTTAACAACATGATGCGCCTTGATGACTTGGGCTGCCACCTTTCCACCCAGCCTGTTGCAAATCGCTGCGACATTAACGAACCAAGCAGCAAAAGCAACCATATTTAAACCGTTCATTGAAAGGTCGCGCGTCAAGGGCAAAAGTGAAATGTCTGAGGTCTCCCAAAAACCAGCGTTGCCACGCCAGGCCGTGCTGCTCTGCCTTCAATCCAGGCAAAAACAAAGAATCTGGCCTCGACCCGCTCAGGCGTTGCAAAGTCAAAGGCTTGCAAGCCCGGTGGTGCCAACAAACCGAAAAGAGGTCATGCTGGAGCTCCCGGCCGAGGCGCCGCTCCTCGCCGGCGAGCCGCGCCACCGCTGCCACTTCCAAGCCAGGCGGCAGCCGCCGTGTTGCCTCCCAGCCAAAATGAAAGGCCAATAGCTCTCTCAACGCACGACCCGCGGAAACAGCCAGAAAGGACTAAAATATGCAAAGCGCTATCTATTCTCGCGATCAAGTCCCCGGCCTCGCCGCCCTGGATTCATTCATTCATTCATTCATTCTTTCTTTCTTTATTTCATTTCATTTCATTTCATTTCATTTCATTCATTTCAATTCATTCATTCATTCACTCATTCATTCATTCATTCACTCATTCACTTCACTTCACTTCACTTCACTTCACTTCACTT